TCCAGTGGGGTCTCCCTGCGCAGGTCCGAATCCTGCCGACAACGGGAAGTGATGTCTTCTTTTTTCAACAACTCCCAGCGCAGACTCGAATCCTTCGAGTCTTCTTTTTTCATCATCTACAGGGTGCCACGGGATGTTTACGTCTTTGACAAAAGAATCGAAATGATGTTTTATTCAGAACGCCCCTTTTTTCCATAGACTCCAATGGACCTAAGCCTTGTTTCATTCGTTACATATTACAGGAAGCTAAACAGCATCCACGTGATACATTATGAAGGAAAATGTGTTGTCGTGGCCGAGTGGTTAAGGCGACGGACTAGAAATCCATTGGGGTCTCCCCACACACTAAACAGCCTCCAAGTGATAAACTGTTGTGGATGAATGGATAGGATGAAAAATTTTAAATCCTTTTCGGACTCCCCGCACAGGTTCGAATCCTTCGAGTTTTCTTTTTTCAACAGCCTAAAAGGTGTCACGTGAACAAGGACCTAAGCCTTGTTTAGAAATAATTTGTTGTTGTGGCCGAGTGGTTAAGGCGATGGACTAGAAATCCAGGTCTCCCCGCGCAGGTCCGAATCCTGCCGACAACGGTAAGTGATGTCTTCTTTTTTCAATAACTCCCAGCGCAGATTCGAATCCTTCGAGTCTTCTTTTTTCAACAACCTACAGGCTGCCACGGGATGTTTACGTCTTTGACAAAAGAATCGAAACCATGTTTTATTCAGAAAGCCAATTTTTCCATACACTCCAATGGACCTAAGCCTTGTTTCATTCGTTACTTATTACAGAATGCTAAACAGGATCCAAGTGATACATTATGAAGGAAAATGTGTTGTTGTGGCTGAGTTGTTAAGGCGATGGATTTGAAGTCCATTGGGGGCTACCCGCGCAGGTTCAAATCCTGCCGACAATGGGAGGATTTGTTGTCGACAAAAGATTTGAAATGATGTTTTATTCAGAAAGCCCCTTTTTTCCATACACTCCAATGGACCTAAGCCTTGTTTCATTCGTTACATATTACAGAAAGCTAAACAGCATCCACGTGATACATTTTGAAGGAAAATGTGTTGTCGTGGCCGAGTGGTTAAGGCGATGGACTAGAAATCCATTGGGGTCTCCCCGCGCAGGTCTGAATCCTGCCGACAACGGGTAGTGATGTCTTCTTTTTTCAACAACTCCCAGCGCAGATTCGAATCCTTCGAGTCTTCTTTTTTCAACAACCTAAAAGGTGTCACGTGAACAAGGACCTAAGCCTTGTTTAGAAATGATTTGTTTTTGTGGCCGAGTGGTTAAGGCGATGGATTAGAAATCCATTGGGGTCTCTCCGCGCAGGTCCGAATCCTGCCGACAACGGGAAGTGATGTCTTCTTTTTTCTACAACTCCCAGCGCAGATTCGAATCCTTCGAGTCTTCTTTTTTCAACAACCTACAGGGTGTCACGGGATGTTTACGTCTTTGACAAAAGAATCGAAACTTATTACAGAAAGATAAACAGCATTCACGTGATACATTATGAAGGAAAATGTGTTGTCGTGGCCGAGTGGTTAAGGCGATGGACTAGAAATCCATTGGGGTCTCCCCGCGCAGGTTCGAATCCTGCTGTCAACGGGAAGTGATGTCTTCTTTTTTCTACAATTCCCAGCGCAGATTCGAATCCTTCGAGTCTTCTTTTTTCAACAACCTACAGGGTGTCACGGCATGTTTACGTCTATGACAAAAGAATCGAAATGATGTTTTATTCAGAAAGCCCCTCTTTTTCACACGCTCCAAAGGACCTAAGCCTTGTTTCAGGATGATAAAATTTAAATCCTTTTCGGACTCCCCGCGCAGGTTCGAATCCTTCAAGTTTTCTTTTTTCAACAACCTACAGGGTGTCACGGGATGTTTACGTCTTAGACAAAAGCCTCAAAATGATGTTTTTTTCAGAATGCCCCTTTTTTTCCACATGCTCCAAAGGACCTAAGCCTTGTTTAGAAATAATGTGTTGTCGTGGCCGAGTGGTTAAGGCGATGGATTCGAAATCCATTGGGGTCTCCCCGCGCAGGTTCGAATCCTGCCGACAACGGGAAGTGATGTCTTCTTTTTTCAACAACTCTCAGCGCAGATTCGAATCTTTCGAGTCATCTTTTTTCAACAACCTAAAAGGTGTCACGTGAACAAGGACCTAAGCCTTGTTTAGAAATGATTTGTTGTTGTGGCCGAGTGGTTAAGGTGATGGACTAGAAATCCATTGGGGTCTCCCCGCGCAGGTCCGAATCCTGCCGACAACGGGAAGTGATGTCTTCTTTTTTCAACAACTCCCAGCGCAGATTCGAATCCTTCGAGTCTTCTTTTTTCATCATCTACAGGGTGCCACGGGATGTTTACGTCTTTGACAAAAGAATCGAAATGATGTTTTATTCAGAAAGCCCCTTTTTTCCATAGACTCCAATGGACCTAAGCCTTGTTTCATTTGTTACATATTACAGGAAGCTAAACAGCATCCAGGTGATACATTATGAAGGAAAATGTGTTGTCGTGGCCGAGTGGTTAAGGCGATGGATTTGAAGTCCATTGGGGGCTACCTGCGCAGGTTCAAATCCTGCCGACAATGGGAAGATTTGTTGTCGACAAAAGATTTGAAATGATGTTTTATTTAGAAAGCCCCTTTTTTCCATACACTCCAATGGACCTAAGCCTTGTTTCATTCGTTACATATTACAGAAAGCTAAACAGCATCCACGTGATACATTATGAAGGAAAATGTGTTGTCGTGGCCGAGTGGTTAAGGTGATGGACTAGAAATCCATTGGGGTCTCCCTGCGCAGGTTCGAATCCTGCTGACAACGGGTAGTGATGTCTTCTTTTTTCAACAACTCCCAGCGCAGATTCGAATCCTTCGAGTCTTCTTTTTTCAACAACCTACAGGGTGTCAGGGCATGTTTACGTCTTCGACAAAAGCCTCAAAATGAGTTTTTTTTCATAATGCCCCTTTTTTTCCACATGCTCCAAAGGACCTAAGCCTTTTTTAGAAATAATGTGTTGTCATGGCCGAGTGGTTAAGGCGATGGATTTGAAATCCATTGGGGTTTCCCCGCGCAGGTTCAAATCCTGCCGACAACGGGAAGTGATGTCTTCTTTTTTCAACAATTCCCAGCGCAGATTCGAATCCTTCGAGTCTTCTTTTTTCAACAACCTACAGGGTGCCACGGGTTGTTTACGTCTTTGACAAAAGAATCGAAATGATGTTTTATTCAGAAAGCCCCTTTTTTCCACTCCAATGGACCTAAGCCTTGTTTCATTCGTTACATATTACAGAAAGCTAAACAGCATCCACGTGATACATTATGAAGGAAAATGTGTTGTCGTGGCCGAGTGGTTAAGGCGATGGACTAGAAATCCATTTGGGATACCCGCGCAGGTTCGAATCCTGCTGACAACGGGAAGTGATGTCTTCTTTTTTCTACAATTCCCAGCGCAGATTCGAATCCTTCGAGTCTTCTTTTTTCAACAACCTAAAAGGTGTCACGTGAACAAGGACCTAAGCCTTGTTTAGAAATGATTTGTTTTTGTGGCCGAGTGGTTAAGGCGATGGATTAGAAATCCATTGGGGTCTCCCCGCGCAGGTCCGAATCCTGCTGACAACGGGAAGTGATGTCTTCTTTTTTCAACAACTCCCAGCGCAGATTCGAATCCTTCGAGTCTTGTTTTTTCAACAACCTACAGGGTGTCACGGGATGTTTACGTCTTTGACAAAAGAATCGAAACTTATTACAGAAAGATAAACAGCATTCACGTGATACATTTTGAAGGAAAATGTGTTGTCGTGGCCGAGTGGTTAAGGCGATGGACTAGAAATCCATTGGGGTCTCCCCACGCAGGTTCGAATCCTGCTGACAACGGGAAGTGATGTCTTCTTTTTTCTACAATTCCCAGCGCAGATTCGAATCCTTCGAGTCTTCTTTTTTCAACAACCTACAGGGTGCCACGGGTTGTTTACGTCTTTGACAAAAGAATCGAAATGATGTTTTATTCAGAAAGCCCCTTTTTTCCACACGCTCCAAAGGACCTAAGCCTTGTTTCAGGATGATAAAATTTAAATCCTTTTCGGACTCCCCGCGCAGGTTCGAATCCTTCCAGTTTCCTTTTTTTAACAACCTACAGGGTGTCACGGGATGTTTACGTCTTCGACAAAAGCCTTAAAATGTTGTTTTTTTCAGAACCCCCCTTTTTTTCCACATGCTCCAAAGGACCTAAGCCTTGTTTAGAAATAATGTGTTGTCGTGGCCGAGTGGTTAAGGCGATGGATTTGAAATCCATTGGGGTTTCCCCGCGCAGGTTCAAATCCTGCCGACAACGGGAAGTGATGTCTTTTTTTATAAACAACTCTCAGCGCAGATTCGAATCCTTCGAGTCTTCTTTTTTCAACAACCTAAAAGGTGTCACGTGAACAAGGACCTAAGCCTTGTTCAGAAATGATTTGTTGTTGTGGCCGAGTGGTTAAGGCGATGGACTAGAAATCCATTGGGGTCTCCCCGCGCAGGTTCGAATCCTGCCGACAACGGGAAGTGATGTCTTCTTTTTTCTACAATTCCCAGCGCAGATTCGAATCCTTCGAGTCTTTATTTTTCAACAACCTACAGGGTGTCACGGCATGTTTACGACTATGACAAAAGAATCGAAATGATGTTTTATTCAGAAAGCCCCTTTTTTCCACACGCTCCAAAGGACCTAAGCCTTGTTTCAGAATAATAAAATTTAAATCCTTTTCGGACTTCCCGCGCAGGTTCGAATCCTTCGAGTTTTCTTTTTTCAACAACCTACAGGGTGTCACGGGATGTTTACGTCTTCGACAAAAGCCTCAAAATGATGTTTTTTTCAGAATGCCCCTTTTTTTCCACATGCTCCAAAGGACCTATGCCTTGTTTAGAAATATTGTGTTGTCGTGGCCGAGTGGTTAAGGCGATGGATTCGAAATCCATTTGGGTCTACCCGCGCAGGTTCGAATCCTGCCGACAACG